CGGAAGATTATCAAGCTGATGTTGTCTCTGCAACTGGCTTAAAAATCAAGATTGATAGCTTCATGCTCGATCTGCACCAACGCCGTGAGTATTTTAATACCATGGCAAAAGTGCGAGCAAAACAGATGAGGACCAGCGGCATGAAGATCTATAAAACCGAACTTGACTTCGTACGCGCCGATTTGAGAGCTGTCGCGGCACTCATCGCGGGGACGACGGCAGAGGACATTCAAAATGCAAGTGATGAAACGCTGTCTTCACTACAAGAAGTGCCTGCGAACATTGATTTGTCCCAATTCACCATCCCAGATCAAGATCTGTCGTGGATAGATATGGATGACTTTGTGGAATTGGACTGGGTGTTACCCGCAGAGTCGAATCCGGAAACCAAGATCTTGCCATTGGCTTTCACACCACGTTTCACCTACTTTCGACAGACCGATCATGGGGGCGCCATACAGGGAGACGAGTCCCGCACGAGTCCATTTGGCGATGAAGACACCCACTTCTGCGTCATGGGTCGTGACAATGACCCGAGAAAGGTCCAGATGAACCTGATTGAGACTAGACTGCATGATCTCGAAGACAGACTTCAAACACACGTGCGCATTATGAACGAGCACGAACTTCTCGTCGTTAGAGAAGGAGACCAGGATCGAGCAGTCCGAGACAAACATGAGCTTCTCATCGCCCAACAGAAGGAGTTGGAAAGCAAACGACGATTCTTACAACATGGTCTCCGACGTCTGGTCGGCCATGCAAACCCAGGCGAGGCTCAGCATGTCGACAATATCCCCCACGCCAATGGAGACGTCAATAAGTCTACGCCTGAGCCGGAAGGACAGACACCTGGAACTCCTCAAATGGATATGGATGGATTGTACTCGGCCCCTCACGACGAGTTCGCGAGTGACTTCAACAACCGCTTCATCATCCATAATGTTCAGCTCAAATGGAACAATTCCTTGAGAAACATCATCCTCCGATATAGCCATCAGGTCAGCCAACGCCGAGGTTTTGTATACTACATGTCACGACGTGCCGTTAAATTCATACTCGATATTGTTGATGAGCAAGCGAAGGCAAAGGAAGTGCGCCGTAGACAAGAGAGGAAGAACCAACCACCAGTACCGCCAACGCCGAGTATCATTTCCCCGAGCGAGGAGAAAGACGAAGATTCTGTCGTAGAAGATCGGATCAAGCAGCTCCTGAATGATGTGAAACGGTTCGTCCAAGTCCACGAAGGAGATGGAGATGAAGACCCAAAACCATCCGGGACTGATAATGACGATATCGAGCGGAGACCTTCCACTGCTGATCTTGGTGACAAGATTGCAGAAAACTTCCAGGCGATGAACAGCTATCACCTACGTCTGATCGCTCCTCAGATACAGCTTCAGAGTGAGAAGAACACGAAGGCTATCGTTCTCATATCTGCAAAGGGGATGCAACTGAAAGTTGTCTCCATCATGGATAAGTCTCGCATGTCGGACGACGTCAGTGGCCTTGTACAGCGTCGCTTCGCACTTGATATGGACGGAGCACAATTCTTTGTGGCGACGCAAAAGACATTGGCCAGGTATCTCCATCTCTACTCGGGTAACAGATACGGCAACACACCTGGGTCGTCGTGGCCACCCTGGGTCTCCCTTGAGGCGATGTTCGATTTCCATCTGGAACCTTTCGGTTTCCAAAGGGTCATTCAGAAGACTTCTGCAAGCCTCCGATACGAAAAGTACAATCCTCTTCGACTGAAATACAACGAGGAGGTGGAGAGCAACGAAAATGGAGAGCCCAATGCTGCAGCACGCAGAGAACACCGGATTGACCAGCTGTGGGTCGACTTCCCTCGAGTCCGTGCTCGGTGCGATTCCACTCAATACTATGCGGTTTACATAATCGTCCTAGACCTGTTGCTGTACAGTGAACCGCTGGAGAAGACAAGAAGCGAACGGTTAGAGAAGATCATGCTCGCGTCCGACTTCAGTGATCTGCGAGGAGCCCCCGAAATGGCCGAAAGCCTCCAAGAACGCATCCGACAGCTCGAAGACATCAAACTTCATTTCCAGATACATGCCAAGTATCTCGACAAGCAAGGTTGGCAAGATCGGATCAATCTTGAAAAGGACCTTGCTAGTTGCGAGGATGAATTGTTCTTCATCATGAAAGCCATCAACACGTCTCAACAAAAGAGCGAGGACCGGAAAGCTTCTCAATCGAGCGGTCTCTTACGATGGTATCTCAGCGCCTCTGAAATTGTGTGGCACCTCATGCGGGATAAAGACGAACCGCTCCTAGAGTTTCAACTAGGCAATGCTGCGTATGAGCGAGTGGACAACACTGACGGGTCCAATCACAATGCCTTGGAAGTCGAACACATCAGAGGCTGGAATCTCCTGCCCAACGCGCTGTACCCGGAAATCATCGGACCGTATTACGAAGCATCAGACAGAGACAGACGACCTAGCATGGCAGGGGTTCAGAAAATGGTCCAGGTACACTGGTACATGCTCGAAGCCATTGCCGGCATTCCCGTCTTGGAACACTTTGAGGTCACCGTATTCCCACTCAAAGTGCAGCTTGAACGTGAACTTGGCAAGAAGCTCTTTGAGTACATTTTCCCTGGCGTGGGATCGAATGCTTTTGAGAATGGCAACTTTTCTCCGCTCATGGTTAAGAACATGGAACCCACGGACGACGGAGACGATCAAGAATTCGTGGAAGCGCACAGTGCGTTGATGTCGGAGCAAGATCTTCAAAGCCCCAGTCCAGACAAGACTCGCAATACTTCACCTGGTGCTGTGGCACGAAGGCTGAAGCCCACCTATGGTCTGTATTATGATGAGAAGCACAAGGATTCGACCTCTTCCTTGCATGGCAAAAACAGAGGGCTCGGTCTCACAGCGGATCACCACAAATTCTTCAAGCATTTCAACAAGTCTGAGACTCGGTCCGTGTTCAAGGAACCCACACGCAAAGGATCCTCGACTAGTCTAAGATCAGCAAAGAAACATGATATGTCATCCACAAGTCTCGTCGCCCTTGGCGCCAGCGAGGGAGGAACAGAGAAAAAACGCTTCCCTATACACCGGACAGGCAGCAAAGACCGCGGTGCCACAGGAAAGAAAGACAAAAAGGACAAGACCGCCACGGCCAACGACGACCTCTCCCAAATGATGTCTCGTGCTTCCAATTACATGACGCTAGCTCATGTCAAACTCAACAGCTTCGTCGTCTGCCTCTCGTACAAAGGCAAATCTGATCGTAACTTTGAGGATCTCCACGACTTTGTGTTCCGTATGCCAACGCTTGAATATCGCAACAAGACGTGGTCGAACTTGGACCTGGCGCTCAGGTTGAAGAAGGACGTGATCAGGCATTGATCAGCCACACCGGAGCGATTATTGGAAACAAGTTCTCACATCACAGACCCAATAAAAAGCAGGTCGAACGACTCAAGGAAATCGCGCATTCGAGCACCATTCCCAGCTCGGACGTGACCCTACAACTTTCAGGAACGTCAGATACGACAAGCTTGTATAGTTTTTCGCAGGACGGGAGGGACGATGACTTCGAGTCCTCAGGTATATCATTCCAGTCACCACCCGGAACAAATGGGCATCCCAAAGGAGGCGCTTTCCATGGGCCCAGCCCCCTCCTTCGAAGTGGCTCGTGGTCCTCGAGTATCAACCTACCGGCTATCGCGGCCACTGGTGCTGGGACCCTCGCCTCAGCTGCGCCACGTTCAATTCCTGGCTCTGCCGGCGCAGGTATTGGTGGAAATGGAACCGCTAGTAACACCACGTCATTTTTCTCACGACCACGATCTGCACATCCGAGCTCTGCAACAAGCTCAAACCCGAATCTCAACAGCTCCAACAATTCGCCTTCGTCTCCACAGACTCCAGGCAGAAGTCTTCTGAAGGACACAATTGGGAGGCATTTCTCTGGAGACACCGTCAAGGGGAGAGTGCATTTTAGTGGACTTTCACTGATCAAGAGTGAGAGCCATTCGCACCGGGAGAGAAGTGACAGCCACGGCAGCCATACACCTAGCACAAAGGAGAGGGAAAGAGATAACAGTGGAAACGATGAAGGGTCTCCAGGAAGTGTCGTCGGGGGCGCCAATGGAGGTATCGCCCCGTTGGGCACAGACAGTGACGCCGAGACCAATAAAAGAAAGAGTGTGTTGATGCTGGGCAAGAAGGTGTTGAACCGGTTGAGTTAGAATTTGGGCTGATTGACTTGACAGACTGGCCACGAAGCTCCGTGGCAAGACGGAGAGATGCAAAATATTAAGGCACTGGGAAGCCAGTCAAGAAAAGTTTCGTCTTATGTAGGAATTGGACATTTGGGATGCGGCTCCTCATCTTGGGAATGGAGAAACGGGACTCGGCGACATGCTTTGAAAAGAAAATCGTGGAATCTGGCGCTGCCCCAAGTGTTTTTTTTTTTTTCTTTTCCGTTATGAACAATGGATTATGGATCGACGGCTGACTCGGGCTCGACGAGGAAGGAGAAATATCCGGGCATGGCGGTGAGCAGCAGCTCCAATAGTCGGTTGGTGCTTTGCGTGCAATGTGTTTGATACTTGTATGCCATGGTGGTAAGAGATATTATACATATACATAAAATATACCTTTCCACTACTGTGAATGTCTTCTTGCTGTGTATGTGTAATATGGGATATGGGATTTTTCATGCTCGGTGCTCAGACATGTCGAGTGGGATGAGAAGAATGATCAGGGAATGGGTTGGTTACGGGCACAGTTCTCGAGTTTGACCTGTATCAAGAAGTGGAGAGGATTCGCGACGAGGCTCATTCATTCATGGTTCGGTTCGACACTGACCGAGTGTCTTATTACGCTCACACTGAGTCTAGGGCGTCTTCGTCTGCAAGGATGTGCCTTGCCCTGGTAATGCTTTCATCAATCGTCATATTGCTCTCGGTGGCTATGACTTGATTTGTACCGACCGCTTCGCCGGTAGCCATGCACGACTCACACACTCTTTCCTCCAGTTTCCACATTACCACCACCACCAACATCATCTCCTCCGTCACTACCACTATCATCGTCCTCAGAGATATAATCTAGCGCGCCCTTGAGCGGCTTGGGCGACTTCCACCCCACCATCATCTCGTTGACCAGAAACTCGTCGAAGGTCGGGTACACGTTGAGCACATCGTCGAAGAACATGATCCCACAGCCTAGGATTCGGACGGTGGCTTCGATTTTGGTGCCCACGCGGATGTAGGACTGGAGGATCGACTCAATAAAGAAGACGTATTCCGTGGGCGGCGCGTCCTGTGGCTCGGGTTCTGACCCCGTGGTCGTGGTGGTGGACGAGCCCGCTCGCTCGGACGGGGTGAGGTCTTCGGGGAGCGCGTCTGGATTCTTCCATGGTTTCGCGTATACGCGGCCGACAGGGCGGAAGAGCTTAGAGTGTGTCGTGTAGATGGCTTTGCATTCGCTGGTGGGAGGCTCGATGCGGGTGACCTCGAAGCCCGTGTGTTCCTGCGTGTGGACGATGTCCATCATCTCCGGGACATTGTCCTGCACGCCCGCGAGGAATGCAGTGTAGACTTCCTCGTCGGCGGCGCCGGCTACTCCGAACCTCACAATCTGCTGGGCTTCGTCGGGCTTCAACCCTACGAATACGGCCTCTTCGGTATCTGGGTTCCCCCACCACGTCTCCCCGTCGTAGTCGCGTGCGTAGCTGCCACCGAAGAGGGTCGAGCATGCCACGTTGAATTCTCCCGGCAGACGGCGCGTCGCTTCGGCCATGTCCCAGAGCTCGGGCTCGGCTTTGCGGCACAGCGCACGGGCGGCGAGTACGTCCTCCTTGTATTCTGGACAGACGTCGCGCTGCAGAAGGTAGTCGAGGAATCTCTCCAGGGTGGTACAGACCATTTTGACCTCGTCCCGCGTGTCGAGGCCAAAGATGGACTTCGCGCGGCGGCTCAGGAAGCCTCTGAGGCAGCCGAGGAAGTCGACCTCGTAAAGGCTCGTCTCGGTGCCCAGATCCCGCAGGTCGTCGCTGATCCGAACTTGTGTCGAGGCGTGGGCGATCTGGGTCTTGTCCATGCCTTCGGTGTCCTGGCCGCCCTGGCCGACATTCTGGCTTATCGTCAGACTGCCATAGATGAGGTACTTGTACAGGACGTCTCTGCGCTGCGGGGTGAGTTTCCGCGTCATCTCGAAGCGCGCTATGGCTGTGGTGATTCTGTCCACGAAGGAAAGACGACTGTGCCAACCGGATTAGCATACGTGGTGGTCGCTTTTGGCCCCCGAGACATGCAGTTTGAAACTTACGGATGATAGATTTCTTGCTCCTCAGCATACTGCTCTGGCGTCAGGGGAGGGTCTGCAAAGTAGTCTTCGAAACCGGTCGGTTTGCCCTTGAGATTGGTATCAACTCAACAGTCCCCATACCTCTTAGTTTTGGGGGGTTCAGATCGAAAGACATACCAACCCGCGTTTACTTGGTGGCTTGCGTCTCTTCTTCTTGCTCTTCTTCTTCAACTCTGCTGGGGGTTCGTTGGTGACTTCGCCGTAGTCTTGATTCTCTTCATCTTCTTCTTGGACATTGCCATCTCCGCTGTACTCGCCGGCCTCAGGCTGCGGCAGGGTAGGCTGGGCAGGATGTTGAATCTCATTAGAGGCAGCCGTGTCGGGTCGGGGCCTCAGCGGAAGTTTTATGGTCTCAGCGTCGCTCATAGCATCATTTGGTCTGAGATCGGCGTCGTTGACGTCCGCATTGGAATCTTGTGTTGAGTTTGAGCAGTTAGTTTCCTCGGGTGATTCTTGAGTGCGGGCCATATTTTCCCAGCGGCACTTTGGACGTCAAGTAGGGAAAGAGGTAAAGAGATGAGAAGAATGGTTTCGAGGATCAGAGCAATAAGAGCCGCAGATGAACGAGGTTCCAGTGGAAGGCTTTGACCATTCACTTCGACCTTGAATGGAGAGCTGGGCACTAGTTTGTGATCTAAGCACTATTGATCGTCTCGCCAGAAGTGAAGGCCAGGTGAGCAAACAACCGCATCTGCAAAAGGCCGCATTGCAGCAATGTGCGTGAGATGCCACATGATGCCACCTTTTGATCGCATGCAATCATCAAGGCTGTACCTCGTACTTCTTTGCCTTCGACCTCCCAAGCAAGGCTGAGATTCCCAAAACACCTTGGGCTGCGACTAAGGGCGCCGAGTCTGAAGCGGCGTCTTGACTCTTCCGCCAATCGTCTCCGCACCCTGGCGGTCAGCTCGATCGATGGCGGCAATCATTCGAAGGATTGTCGGTGACCACGCCAGTCGATTGAATCACCGCATGCACCAGTGTGAGGAAGTGGCAGCTCTTAGGGCTCCTATGGTTGTCTTCACATTCTCGTAAAGCGTCTGTCTCTCCCCTTCTCTACGAGCTTCTCAAGGGTTATCGTCTTCGCGGGGCTGTCAACATGGAGAGCTCTAGCTCAACACACCCAAACAAAAAGGTTGCAGCGAAGTTCTCAGAGTCCGAGCTGGTACGATTCGACCACACCGCTGCTGGCCAGTAAGGAAACCTCCGCGATGTGGCTGTCTATCGTTCTGTGTGACACTAACGTTCTTCCGTACAAAGTGATGGCATCAGCTCCAATGCCTCGGGTTCGCTCATTATCAAGCCCTGCACGCAGGCTGAGATCGACTTCTACGAGTCCGCCAAAGACCACCCCTTGTTCCAAGCCCACATGCCTACTTTCCTGGGGTCGCTCTCCGAGAATGACGACCAAGAAGCTGTAGCGCCGTTGTTACAGACCTCTCAAGACGGCGTTGCTGCTCCTTCGCAGGGAGCTGGAGCTCCAGCTGCGGTTCAGGGGACGACCGCCCCTAACCCTGTACTGGGGCTCAACAGGCGCACTTCCTGGAAACCGTCCGGCGGCCAGAAACTCTCTACGGGCCTGGCGATCGTTCTGGAGAATGTCGTCTCCGGTTTCAAGCACCCCAACGTGCTGGACGTTAAGCTCGGTGCCAGATTGTGGGATGACGACGCGCCGCTGGCCAAGAGAAGGAAACTAGACGACGTGGCGGCGAAGACAACGAGCGGGAGTCTGGGCTTTCGTCTTGCTGGGATGAAGGTGTGGGCTGACGCCGGGGTCGAGGTGACCCCCGCGGAGAAAGAGTACGTCGAGGTCAAGAACGGGTACAAATCCTACAACAAGTTCTACGGGCAGTCTTTCAAGGCAGAGAACGTCGTTGATGCCTTCGAGACGTATTTTGGCGGCGTCAGCGGCAGCCGCCAGGACGACTCGACAACCGGAAAGAACTCCCGATTCAAGAGCCAGCGCGCCGAGTTTCTCATCCGCCGGTTCATCAGGGAACTGGAGAGTATACAGTACGTGCTGGAAAACGAGGAGAGTCGAATGTACAGCGCGAGCGTGTTGATGGTGTACGAAGGAGATCCGCAGACGCTGGAGGCCAGCATTGCGAAAGAGGAAGAGGAGGATGCCAGAGACGCAGGGGATGGAGACAACGAGGACAACGAGGAAGATGAAGATGAAGACGACGACGAAGAAGAAGATGTCCGGCCGCACAAGGTCCACGAAGTGCGCCTCATCGACTTTGCCCACGCGAAGTGGACGCCCGGCGACGGTCCGGACCAGAATGTCCTTGCGGGCATCCAGAGTCTGCTGCGAATTCTGCGGGATCTGGTCAAGGGAGACTAAGGCGAGGAGGGCCCAGGCGATTCTCGTCTACTGATACCGATATACTGTCTCGATTGTCAGGGAAATAGTTGGACGGCCGATAACCGAATGTCTATAAGGGTACTACTGTACAGGAAAACAGGCGACATATCCTAGATCAAAATTGAGGTTGCCTCTGTCTCGTGAGATTTGATTGTCTATCCTGGGTTCTCTCCTCTAATTTTCCTCTTGACTTTTGGTATACGCTCGATGCAGCGGTTCAATCCTCCCAATGTGCGACACTGTCCACGCATGGCCGAGGCCACTGTTATGGTTCAGGTCCTTTCCAACCCGATGACACTTTCTGGCCAACCCGCCCACACAATCGCCCGGTTCGGTACGCGCCCTGCAACAGGACTCAAAAGACTAATTCGCCCTCTTACCTCATCGGTGTCTGTGACGTAGAGAAATCCCATCACAGTGCTGTCGCGAATAACTTCTTGGTCGGCTTCTCCGTCGCAGTTCATAACGGCGAGGACGGAACTTCGCATCGCCGCGATCGGGCTAGCCACGCGTTCAAATATCTGAGATAGGGGCAGCGGCACCTTTGACGTAGAAGAAGGGAATACGTCATCTGCGTCATCGTCCACGCCACCGGGTAGGAACGAGTCTTCGTCATCCTCGTCAAAATTGGCTGCGGCTGAAGGGTCAGGAGTGGTTCCGACGCGGCGCCAGACGGTCAACGTAGAGAAGTCCACTTGTTGATGGCGAGGTTGGAGAGCAATCCCGTTGGTCAGGCGCGGGTTGCCGTAGAAATATGTCTTGATTTGTGCCGCGCGGAAGGCGGTCATAAATGCTTCATCGCGATCGACGCAGCCGCCCGATTTGGCAAGTTTGATGACAGAGATTGTCTCGGGCGTCGCGGATGCGGCAGTGGTGGTCGATGTTGAGGGTCGGAATGCAATGGGCTGTCCATCGAATTTCTTGACCATGTCACTGTAAAGTCTCTCGGAACCCATACAGATGATGGCTGAAACGGCAAATTCAGCAACAATGTCCTGAATAATGTCATAGCCAACGGTATTTCCAGATTTCATCGTCGTCAGACTTCCCGGGGTATCGATAATGATACCACTTTCTCTAGCTTCTGGGTCTTGAGCTCTACGGCCCGCCACTGCGAGAGCCAACCGATTGATCTGAGCTTTGTAGACCTTGCCTTCCTTTTCCTCTGGTTTCGAGCTTCCGAAAAAGTAGACGAGTGGTAACTTGACGGGGATGACCCCGTTAGGACCAGACATTGGCGCAGTTCCCCATCCTTCCTCAACGTCCATCAGGGTTTTGAAGACAGTGGCCGTGAGGGTGCCGGGAATGCTCATAACGCCTTCCTTGACGTCCAGATTGACCACGACTGGGGATCGTGCAGAACGAGAGGCATAACCAGTGAGAATTTTTGCAAGAGAGGTTTTGCCGGCATCCTCAGGCCCCAATATCAAGACTCGGGGTCCTTCACGCCCGGTACTCTGAGCCTGACTCCGCAGGTTCTCGAGACTGAAGTGAGTATTGATGTACTCATTCATAGGAGTTTCCTCCGCGACATACTCGCTTTGAAGGGCATCGCCGCTGACCTGGAACGAGCAGCCATTCCAAGTGTAGATGGCAGCCTTTGTGCCGGTGAAGGTGTATGTGTTCCCCAGCACAAGCTCAGTCCCAAACAGCTCAGCGGAGCCCGTCAACAGCTACAAGATCCGTGCATTAGACAAGGCTCAGCAGTGGCCTGAGACGTAGCTGGACTCACCTTGACCTGGACATACTTGCCCACGGCCACCTCGAAGCGCCATTCCGTCTCCTTTGCGAGGTCGTGTTGGGTGGCCTCGACGGTGTGAACCTCTTCTGGCTCTTCTAGGCCAAGACCAGGCAACGACATTTGATCATCGTGTCCCGAGGAAAGGGGCGATAGGATTAGTTTTGGTGGTGGCGGGAATGCGTATTTCGTATTGCCGAGTGTCTGAAGGTAGAGTGAGAACTGTTTACGATGCGAGCTGCTGCAATCGGCTGACAAGCAACGAAGTTCCCGCCCCGCCACCGGATTCGGAAGTGGCGGCTTGGCATAACTGTGTCGTCACTCAAAACTGCGCTGCGCCCACATTTGTTGTGATTCCCCATCTCAGCCATTGATTGTTGTTCTTCAGCTACACAAACTCTGCCTCGCGAATACGAAACACCCCTGCTTACTCTCTGATTCGGTGCTCGCATCGAACTGTCCGAGTCTGCACAAATCATCGTCTCCCGAGCTCTCATCCTCATCCGTTCGTGTCAAACGCTGGTCAGCACTTGAACACAGCATACTCTCATGCACTCCGGAACTCCATCCTTGGTGCCCGGCGCACAAGCGAATTACCATCCGCTATGCCTTGGCTATGCCAACAGTTTAAGATCCTTGGAGCCTGTACACAATCTTCTTGTTCCTGCTGCAGCGCAGTAAGCGACGCTAAACAATGCTGACACACTTGAACCCTTGCCAATTGGCCCTTTCAGGAAGCGGCAAATCCTTGCTGCATCATTAGGTAAGGCCTTAAGTAACAAACACGACGTCCCAAGACCCTCTCAAGGACAGTCCGTCGCAATTTGGGGTCTATTAGCAGTGCCTTGAGGTGCACATGAAGAGTGAACAATTGCTCCGTGGCCCGCACATGCGAGGCCTCCAGCATCTCGCAGTTTTCCCTGTGCTTTGATCCTTCAAGCGCCGATCTCTCCAATTGGGTTCTCTTCTTTGGTGTTGTTTTGCCGGACAAGGGCAATAACCCCACCGATACGGATTCCTGTGCCTGGCATTGAAACATGCTCTAGGATCAGCGCTTCATAATTTAATATGGTGGAGTTGTCGGTACTATCGACTGTTATGTTCCTAGCGCATCGATAATGGTGGGGATAAGGGTTTCCCTTCCCGAATTGGTTCTTGAGGCCAATACCGTAGAGGGACTTCCGCAAACCCCGGTCTGGGCGAGTTCTTGGGTCTCGAGCATCCCAGCGACTTATGCATGGATTTCACTACATCCTCGTACTTCGCTCCAGAGGCCGAGAAATGCTACCTACCTTCGCCAATGAGGCCTCCCTTCTACCTTTGACATCAGAGCCCGGAGCATGGTTGAAGTCCGTTCCTTGTACGGGTTCATTCTTCACTTCACACTAGTCTTCCCATTTTATTATTACTGCCACAGCAGCGACTACGTTTATGAAATGTCTCAGTCACTGCCTATCTAGCATTTCTTATATGATTGACGCCCTTGGGGTGACAGATCTCACTTCGAAATAGTGAAAAAATCGAGGCCTTTGGAGCCTTTGGATCTTCTAAAGAGCTTCATCTACTCGTTACATTGTATTCCTTCCGACAGCCAAACACTCCAGGTATCGACACCATGGGCTCAGAAGACGAAGAGCACGCTCCTCCACCAACCCGCAACTCCCTGGAGCGCGAGGTGACAACGAGCAGTTCTGAAGGCCCGAGATTCGAACCAATTCGAACGCGAAGAACAAGGGAGACGGACGACTACCGCTTCGACGACGAAGAACCAGCAAACCAAGATGAGCTTGTGAGGATCGCAACCATTCTGTCCGGGGTTCGGACTCGCACCATTACAAGCGATGGCCTACAAAGACAGGACACTGTCGCAGGCATGGGCATTGAGTCCCCCGAATTCGATCCGAACAATCCCGCGTTCAACTTTTACCTCTGGATCCGCAAGTTTCTACAACTTCTGGAGCAACAGAACATCAAATTGCGGAGGTCTGGCTTCACTTTCAAGAACCTCAGTGTTTTTGGAAAGGGATCCGCTCTGGTCCTCCAGCAAACCGTGGGCTCCATCTTTATGCAACCATTCCGCATTCGCGAGCTTTTCCAGCATCCTGCCGAGAAGCAGATATTACGCAATTTCAACGGGAATGTTAACAGTGGAGAGCTGCTGATTGTCCTGGGTCGGCCTGGAAGTGGTTGTTCTACGTTCCTCAAAACCATTTGCGGCGAGCTCCAAGGTCTACAGCTCTCGGACGATTCCAAAATCACTTATAGTGGAATATCTCGGGAACTTTTCATCAAAGAGTTCAAGGGCGAGGCAATATACAACCAAGAGAATGAAAAGCATTTCCCTCATTTGACTGTAGGCGAGACGCTCAACTTTGCAGCCGCCTGCCGCACTCCATCCAACAGAGTTCTTGACTTTCCCAGAGCAGAATGGGCCAATTACATGGCATCTGTCATGATGAACATCTTCGGCTTGTGTAAGTTTCCGGAACGATACAAAAGGCCCTATTGAAGAGTTACGACTGATCTGTACACTCAGCACACACGCGTAACACCAAAGTTGGAGACGATTTCGTGCGTGGTGTCAGCGGCGGAGAGCGAAAGCGTGTCAGCATCGCCGAGATGGCTCTGGCAGGTGAGTTTGCTTTGGAACAGACTAAGGAACTATACCCATCATCTCTTGACAGGTTCGCCTATTGCGGCGTGGGATAATTCTACCCGTGGGCTTGACTCGCAAACTGCCCTCGAATTCGTTCGCTCGCTTCGAATCGCTGCAGACTACGTGGGTCTCACTTCCCTCATCGCTATTTACCAGGCTTCGCAGGCCATCTATGACCTGTGCGACAAGGCAATCGTCCTCTACGAAGGGAGACAGATTTACTTCGGTCCTTGCGACGAAGCTCGGGCATATTTCGAAGAAATGGGCTGGCATTGTCCGCCTCGACAGACCACAGGCGACTTTTTGACGTAAGTGTTATTTCCAGCCTCTATAGGCTGGTGCGTCAGTCGCATTGGCTAAGGATGTCACTCTAGGTCCGTTACGAACCCAAACGAGAGACGACCCAGAGAAGGGTTCGAAAATAAGGTTCCCCGTACGGCTACGGAATTTGAAAAGTACTGGCTCGAGAGCGCTCAGTACAAGGCATCTCAAGAGGAAGCCGAACACGCAGAAATTGAGGCCAACGGAGAAGAAGCTCTCCAGACATTCAGAGAGTCGCATCAGCAGATGCAATCCGATCATGTGCGCCCCAAATCGCCATATGTGATCAGCATACCAATGCAAGTTCGCCTTTGCGTGACTCGAGCATACCAGAGACTCTGGAACGACAAGGCATCAACTATGTAAGTCGTGTTTGTGGCCTCCCGGTTTCCCTACGAAGCTAATGGCAAATTTCAGTGCCGTCATCTTCAGTCAAATCGCACAAGCACTAATCATAGGGTCTATCTTCTTTGGCACTCCACTCTCTACAGGCAGCTTCTTCGCCAAAGGCTCTGTTCTCTTCTTTGCTGTCTTGCTCAGTGCTCTGCAGTCTATTGTTGAGATCAACACCTTGTACAGCCAAAGGCCCATTGTCGCCAAACACAAGTCATATGCCTTCTACCACCCGTTCACGGAGGCTGTTGCAGGTATTGTGGCCGATTTACCCATTAAATTCTGCACAACTACCGTGTTCAACATCATACTGTATTTCCTGGCGGGGTTGAGGTACGAGGCTTCAAACTTCTTCATCTTCTTCCTCTTCAACTTCATGGCCATGTTGACCATGTCTGCCATCTTTCGAACCACGGCAGCGGTAACGAAAACAATTTCAGCCGCTTTGGCCATTGCTGGTGTCATGGTTCTCTGGATCGTCATTTGTAAGTGCCTCTCCGCGTTTGTCTTGATGAAACCTTCCCATGCTAATGACACGTCAGACACTGGCTTTACCATGCAACGTTCCTTTATGCATCCGTGGTTCAAATGGAGCTCCTGGATCAACCCAATTGCCTATGCCTTCGAAGCACTCCTTGTCAATGAAGTTCACGGGCGGAAGTTTCCATGTGCCCCTACCAGCTTAGTTCCACCGTACGGCACTAACGACCATTTTCAATGCGCTGTCGCTGGCGCCGTAGCAGGTCAAACCACGGTTTCGGGAGATGCATGGGTCAAGTCGTCCTATGGCTATTCATATAGTCACATCTGGCGCAATCTCGGCTTTCTCTTTGCCTTTATGATATTCTTCTTCGCAATCTACTTTATCGCTACCGAAATCAATTCCGACACAACCTCGACGGCGGAATTCTTGGTCTTCAGAAGAGGGCATGTCCCATCATACTTGCTAGGCGGTAAGCATGACGAGGAGCGAATACAAGCTGATGAAAAGGGAGTCGGGTCGGTCAACCCGGTCCACGAGCAGCAAGCAGACGAAGTCAAAGCTTTACCTGCACAGAAAGATATCTTCACCTGGCGGAATGTGACTCTTGACATCAAGATTAAGGGCGAGCCTCGAAGACTACTTGACGGCGTCTCGGGATGGGTCAAACCAGGCACCTTGACTGCTCTCATGGGGACTTCAGGAGCCGGTAAGACCACTTTGTTGGATGCCCTGGCGCAAAGAATCAAGATTGGCGTATTGACAGGTGATATGGTAAGTTTTCCAAGTCAAGTCGGCTGTCTTTAGATCGGCTTTTTTGACCATCTCTTTCATGGCAGCTTGTAAACGGCAAACCCCTTGATCTTTCCTTTCAGCGCAAGACAGGCTATGTGCAGCAACAAGACCTCCACCTTGAGACCACCACTGTCCGAGAAGCTCTTCGATTTTCGGCATATCTTCGACAACCGAAATCGGTCACAAAGAAAGAGAAGGACGACTTTGTCGAAGAAGTTATCAAAATGCTCAACATGCAAGATTTTGCAGAGGCTATCGTCGGGAACCCAGGAGAAGGTCTCAATGTTGAACAACGGAAGCTCCTGACGATCGGCGTTGAACTTGCAGCAAAACCAGCACTCCTCATTTTCCTCGATGAACCCACCTCAGGGCTGGATTCCCAGAGTTCGTGGTCGATTGTGGCCTTCCTGCGCAAGCTCGCCGACTCTGGACAAGCAATTCTTTGTACTATTCATCAACCATCAGCTATCTTGTTCCAAGAGTTCGACCGACTGCTCTTCCTGATGAAGGGGGGCAAGACAATCTATTTCGGCGACATTGGCCACAATTCCACAACTTTATTGGATTACTTTGAGAGGAACGGTGCTCCCAAGTGTGATGACGATGCGAACCCTGCCGAATATATGCTCGATATCTGCGGGAAGAAGTCTGATCGGGACTGGAGCGAAGTGTGGAAGACAACGCCTGAAGCTCAAGAGGTGCAGGCAGAGCTGGATCGAATCCAACAGGCCCAGCATCCTGCACCTACAGGAGATGCATCATCGACGTCCGAATTTGCTATGCCGCTTACCGCTCAGATCTACCATGTCACTCACCGCGTGTTTCAGCAATATTGGAGAACGCCATCTTATATCAGCGGCAAGTAAGTTTGGGACTGTATCACTGAAGCAATCCGCAGAGACTGACGTGCCCTCCAGGTTTCTTTTGGGGATCATGTCTGCACTGTTCATTGGCTTCTCGTTCTACAAGCAAAACACTACCTCGACGGGTCTACAGAACACCATCTTCGCCATTTTCATGCTTGTCACGTTAGTTGAATCCTAGACCTCGACACTGATTCTACTGATACTGAACATTTGCAGAATCTTTTCGTCGCTCGTGCAACAAATCATGCCTCGATTCGTCATTCAAAGATCTCTTTATGAAGTCCGAGAACGTCCATCCAAGGCATATTCGTGGATTGCCTTCATGGTCGCCAACATTGTCGTCGAGATTCCGTACCAAATAGTCCTGGCCATCGTCATGTGGGTGTCGTGGTACTTTGCGGTCTTTGGCAAGAACCAGGACAACGAAACGCGAGGGCTGATGCTGCTTTTCGTGATCCAATTCATGGTCTTTACAAGCACGTTTGCCCACATGATCATTGCCGCCATGCCCGACGCGGAGACGGCGGGGAATATTGCCACGCTACTGTTCAGTATGATGCTCACTTTTAACGGTGTCTTACAGAGCCCGACGGCGTTGCCGGGCTTTTGGATCTTTATGTGTATGTTTCTGTGCCCCCTATTCCCGACTGTTCGTCCCTTGCAGAGACTAAAGTATGACTCCCAGATCGAGTATCACCCATGACCTACCTCATCTCCGGTTGGGCAGGAACCGGTCTCCGAGGTCGCCTTGTCCACTGCGCGCAGAACGAGCTGGCCAAGTTCGACCCGCCGTCCGGTCAAACCTGCGCGCAGTACCTGGCCGCGTACTTTGACCGCGGGGCTCCTGGACAATTGTACAATCCCGACGCGACGAGTCAATGCCAATACTGCCCGCTCACGTCGGCGGACCAGTTCTTAGCCGGCAGCAAGATCTACCCCAGCGACAGATGGCGGAACTTTGGCATTGGGTTTTCCTACATAGTCTTCAACGTGAGTTCTCTTGCCCCCTGCTGTAGAACGACAACCCGACATATTTCTACAAGACACTCTCCGTGCTAACCCGTGGCTTTGTCCGACCATCAGATCTTCGCCTGTATCTGTCTGTACTACCTCTTCCGCGTGAGACGGTTCAGCATCGTCAGCCTCGCCAAGGGCCCTGCGCGGATCGTCGATCTCATCGTCAACAAGGGCCTAAGGAGGCTGTTTGCGAGACACGCAGAGCCCACACCGCAGGGAAAAGAGGCCGAACATCACCAGGCATTCTAGGCTTGTACCTCGTATGTCGTGTTGGTCGTTTATCACGCGTGGACGGAAAAAAAAAATCAGAGAAGGCAGGATTTCCGAAAAGAATTTTTTGGTTCGTGTGTGATGCGGACTTTTCTGTAAGGTTTCTACTTCCCCTTTCAACTGGGTTCTAGGGAAGGAGTTTCTATTAATCTAGCCCTGGACCATCCAGATGACGGTGCCGTCTTAATCTAATACTCCCCATATTTCTATTCTTTTTAGGCTTCATCATTTCATTTCATTGACCAATTTTGCTCGCTTCGTTCTCGACATCGTAAAGGAAGAAAAAGTCATTGTACTCCTTCGAAAAAGTCTTTGCCTTGGGACCGGGGATGGGACCCGCATAGTACTTCTGGACCTCTGCGACCATCTTGTCCAGCGGGCCCATCATCTTGTTGGACATGGTCTGGACGGCGCTGACGCGGGGCAGCCGCAGCTTGTCGAAGAGCTGGAGCTTGGATTGCACGGCGTTCGGCGCGTCGTCGACATTTTGGAAGAGGACCTGCAGGGCACGGGCGTCTTCGAGGGCCATGGACGCGCCCTGGCCGTGGGTGGGAAGCATCAAATGGCCGGCGTCGCCGATCAGGACGGCCTTGCCGCGCGAGAACCTCTCGATCGGGTCGCGCCACATTTGTGTGTAGACTTTGATGTCGGTGGCGCCCTCGCACACGGCCTGTACGGCAGGATGGAACCCCTTGGCGTCGGCCAGCACGTCGGCCAGGTCGGCGGGCGAGTCCCAGCCCTCAATGCCCTTCTCCTTGGGTTTGGTCGGGTGCACCAGCGCCACGTACAGCAACTCTCCACCACGGCAGGGGTAGGTGTTGAGGAGCAGACCCGGCCGGCCCACCTCTGTCTTGTAGAAGGTGGTGAACCCGGGTGGTTGGTTCTGGTAGAATTTGCCGGCTTCGGGATGCGCCAGGACCTTGTCAAAGGGTTGCAGGAAGCGGTACATGGACATGGGCGACTTGCTCACGGGGTAAGGACGGCCAATGACACTGGCGATGAGTTCGCTGTGGGCGCCGTCGGCGATGACCACCAGGTCCTTCTGGACTTGTTCGCCCGTGGCCAGCTTGAGGAGACCGGTCTCGACGTCGACATCGACGACCTGCACGCCCAAGTTGATCTCGGGTGGTTGGGGGTGGCACGCTTCCACCAACGCCTTCAAGCCCGCGTGGAGATCGGCACGGTGGAAGAGCAGCCACCTGTCGCCGTACTGCTCCTTGATGTCGGTGAAGAACTCCTCCGAGTCGACCTCGACCGTGTCGGCCCTGACGCGGCGCATCTGGCTGTAATCCAGGCTGCCGGCCCTCACGAAATCGAAGCCCCATTTCGACAGGATCCTGGTGCCGTTGGGCCCGATGATGATGGCCGCGCCCGTTTCGTTGCGGAATCGGGATTTCTCGTACAGCGAGACAGAGTGGCCGGCGTGGGAGAGGGCGATGGCAGCGGACAAGCCTGCGATGCCGGCCCCGACGATGCCGACTTGCAATTGACGTGTTGGCATGATTGATGTTTTCCGAGGTCGAACTGTTGAGCGTACAATAGGGCAACGACGTCAAGGAAGTGTGAGAGGGTGGGAGGGTTCTCTATCCCTATTCCTCCTTTATCGTCGTACTGTGTAACTGCGCTATATTTGTGCAATTGAGTGAGCAGCCTCGTACTACATGCCCAGGCTCAAGGTAAGACGAAGGGGGAGGGGGGTTTGTTCTTACTGCCTCTCAGGCCCGCTACCCACCTTTTAGTTAGTTACTGGTAACGTTATACGAGGTACAGTTTTAATAAAGCTTCATTTTACCTTTGGAGTCCTCCGGGGGGAAAGAAGGAAAGGAGAAGGGGCAGTGGGTTGCCCTAAAGGAAAAGCTTCAATCGGGTCTTGTCTTGACGGAGAGCCTTTAGCGCCGGGGGACAAGGTCAAGTTGTATGTAAACCTCGTAGGGGACCCTGCATCATCATTAGCCTACGGGTACCGAGTACAGACGAGTACAAACACTGTAGCGGCTGGTACGGCCGTGTTTCAAAACCCCCCAGTGGAGTGTAGTTAGGGCAGTGGTGGAGCAAAGTGGTGGTACCCCTGATAATGACATCTTGGGCGAAACTGCATTGGAGCCAAATTGTTGACCTGCGCATGTCCGAGAATCTCATTCATTGCGCCCCGTAACAAGCATCCTCCTTCACCACAATCACATCAACTCAACCCAACTCATCTTCAACCCTCTCCCACTCGGCCATTCCCTCATCAACTCTTTAGAGACGTCCGTCCATTGAATCCCAAGTCACCCATTTCCCATTACCCATCACTCACCTCAACCCATCATGTCCTCCACCTCGACCTCCTCTGCCGTCCTCCCCAGCCGCATCATCCTCTCCCTCCTCGGCCTCGCCGCCGCCGCAGGAGGCTACCTGGCCGACTGGAACGAAACGCACGTCTTCAACCCGCGGTGGACGCCGCACGCCAAATTCCACAACGGCCAGACCATGTCGACGGGGCTCGGCCTGGGCCTGCTCACATGGTACTACACATGGCGGAGCACCAATGCCTCGACGCCCTCGGGCCTGCTGGACAACCTGCTCACGGCCTCGCTCATGAGCAGCTTCTACTGGGCCACGCAGGTCTCGGCCATCCTGTACCCGGGCACGAAGTGGGTGGACGACGAGTTCAAGGAGAGCCACGGCGAGCCGCAGAAGCGGGGGGCGCCCGTGTTGCTGGGCTTGAGTTGGGCCGCGTTCGGGCTGGGTTGGTACCGATTGACCAACTCGAGCAAGTCAATCGGTATTTGAAGAAGAGATTGGTAGTAACAAACATGGGCGTCAAAGCGGCAAGCTTCGAGTTGTGTCAATACAAATGCATTTTCGTGAGATGGTCAAAAGCAGGATCCAGCACGACAGGCGACAGGCGATAGACAGTGCTGGGGAAGCCCGGGGAGGGGGGGGGGTTCGAAAAGCATCACAGACAGACATTTTATGTAAGAGAGCGCGCAAGGCGGGGGAGCTATCTATGTGGCATGTCGTCGAGGTTATATTATGTTGATGCAGTCAGGCTGGCAGGCTGGCAGGCAGGCTCATACATCATCCGTATAATAGCAGGTATAGGTAACTGGGTGACTGGCTTCAGAGGACGTGTTTTCCCACCAATTGTATGAGGCGGATCAGATGAGTAGGATGTACTCGGTACTGTGCGAGCTCCTCGCCTCGTATACTCGATTTTGGAACACCACCAGTATCACCATCATATATGTACCAGACAGGGCACGTGTTCGTCAACAATAATAATTTTGGTCGGCTCGCGTTTCTATCTCCGACCGCGTTTTCTACGAGTAAATCAACTCCAAGTGTCTAGGACGTATGGAGTTAACGGGTCACGGGTGAGCATCGTAGGTACCTAGAGTACAACTTAAGCTAACGGCTCGGCTGTGCCAACGCCGCCCGATCCTCCATGCATGGTGCAGCCTCCATGCTCATCAGTGACCACGCGACCGCGACCGCGACCCTTGGAAGAAGCTTGTCAGTCACCTTCGTATGCTTGTGTACCGCCACCAACTTGGTACCTTTTACCTGCCTACAAGTAAAGAAAGATACCAAGCAACCGCCCAAAAGACTATCTCTAGCTCGCTAGGCAAGCTAGGTAAGGATCTAGGTACGAGGTACTCGGTACTCTACTTTGTTTCATGGGCTCAATACGAACGCGTAATCGCGGTACCTCTTAGGAAGGGAGGGATTGCGTGCTTCGCCGAGCCGATCGATCGATACTTTTTTTTTTATCTCCATGTACGCCGTCGCATACACACCCACGATGTAGGACTTTTGACTCGGAAAACTGAATTGACGGGCTATTCGTTCGGCGCCGACAGACGTGTCGTTCGGGTGCGACTTTTTTTTTATCTTTGAGATTCTTCGAGGCGTCGTGAGAAGTCACTACATCACTATATTGACAAAAGGCCCCAGTACTTTGGATTTTTCTATAAAGCCTTGAAGAAAAAGCGCTGCATATCTAGACAAAAGACGATACAACCACAGTCCAACAACCTAACAATTAACAATTACAGTTACAATTACAATCACTAGCAGAAGAAATTCACTTACGCTGTTCCACAATGTCGTCCTCCACCCCCGCCACAGACACGGACACGGTGACGGCGACAGCGACAGGCTCGACCAACGCCCTCCTCTCCGCAATCCAGACCCGCCGCTCCTGCTACACGCTCACCAAAACCTCACCGATTCCAGACTCGCGGATCCGCGAAATCGTCCAGGCGACAATCACGCACGCGCCCTCGGCGTTCAACGTGCAGTCGGCGCGGGCCGTCGTCCTGGTCGGACGGGAACACGAGAGGCTGTGGGACATTGGCGACGCGGCCTTGAAGGAAGCGATGCCCGAGCAGGCGTATGCCGGGCTGGCGGGCAGGCTTCGGGGGTTCCGCGCCGCGTACGGCACCGTGCTGTGGTTCGAGGACCAGGCGGTCCTGGATGCGCTCAAGGGGAAGAATCCCGCGCTGGGGCATGTCGTTCCGCAGTGTTTGTCTCCCCTGCTCCATCTCCCTCTTCCCATCTGCCACGTCTCTTTCGAGAAAGAGAGAGAGAGAGGGAGAAACTCACTCCATGTGTGCAAAGAGTGCTAACTTGCGCCCCCCCTGGTTGGTTGGAACACAGGGTCCGCCCACTCCAACGGCATGCACCAGTTCATCGCGTGGACCGCGCTCGAACTCGAAGGTCTAGGCTGCAACCTGCAGCACTACGACTTCATGCCCGCCTTCACCGAACGGGTCCTCGCCCAGTGGGACCTCCCCGCGACGTGGACCCTGCATTCGCAACTGGTCTTTGGCGCGCCGGTCGACGGCCTCCTCGAGAGGAGTCGCGAGAGGACCTATCTCCCCCTCGAGGAGAGGGTGAGGATGTTTGGTTGACGGTATAGATGACGATGACGATCTCGAGGATGAGAGATGCTGTGAAGTGTGACGGGTGGAGGGCGATGGGGTGACAGATGGGTCTGAAGGTCGGTTCAGTTCAGGGGTTGAGATTTGAGGATGAGATTGAGATGGAGGTACTCGTAGAGATAGAGATAGAGATAGAACAAAACAAAAGATTCAGGAGTGTCTCCTACCTAAACATATCCCGCATATGTCTATACCCGTTTACGCTCCTTTCGCCCCTTTATTCGGTCCTAGCTGGCTAGGTATGTAGGTGGTTAGGTAACACACACATACACACCCTCATGAATTCATAGACTCTCTGTACGGATTACCTGGTATCGATGTACCTAGTACTCAGGTCCCTGATTGATATCATATCAGTCTGAATTTACATCACATCACATCACATCCAAACCTGAAACTGGAACAGGCAGGATCCGAGCAAGTATCATCTGGCTGGACCAGCCACGTTGAATAGGTATGTTTGTAACATGTACTTCGTAACGCAAGATCGACGCTCAAACATGCCCACCAAAAGTCAACACAACGTACACAAACCACAAAGTACACAAAGTAGAAGTAAACGTTCACATTGACCACTTTTTTCTTCCCGTCGTTACTGCATGTCTGTCTGTATGTCTGCCTCCCACAAATACAAACTGGCCCGGGTTCATTACATTCGCGCTCAAGTCGAGGTCTGGCGATGGACGAGGTACTCCTGTCCTATCCCGGCGAGGAGGCGGCGGGCGAAGCAGGTTTTGGCTTTTGACCGCAAACGACGATTCTATCACCGGAAATATGGTAAGTCATCGTCAGTTCTCTCGCGTGTATAGCCGGGAAAAAGAAGAGCCACTCACATGGGCCAGTATGCATGGATCCTCCGGTCTTGCAGATCTCTCCGCACACCAGTGAGGTAAGCCAGGACCTGCTCCCGCGTCCACCCATGACCCCGCGACAACAGTGCCATGCTCAGACCTTCCAGGCCTTCGCCGATATTGGCCAACGTCCACAGCCCGACGACCTTGTGCCTCGGGTCTTTGGGCCAGTGGTTCGAAGGCCACTTGAAGTGCTTCACCGTGACGTTGATGAAGCCTGCAGCCGTCATGTGCTCGCGGTGACGAGTGGCGTCGCCCAACGACCGTCCCAGCTTCTGACTAGCTTCGAGCAGCAAGGAGCTCCACTCATAAATGGGCTGGCCCTCGTGGAAAGACCCGTCGTCGGTCGCCAGTGGGAAAATGCAGTCCTGGAGTTCCAGCCAGCCGCCGGGGTTCAAATTCCTAGACGAGCACAAAGAGGCACATTTTTGTCAGCGACAATGGTTCGAGCGTGCAAGAGAGTCACTAACAAAACATACTCGTAAGCTCGGCCGATAAAACTAGGCCAATCAGCAAAACTGCCCACCATCATTCTGCTGAAGATATAGTCAAAGGGGAACGACCATGTCCATTCTCGTTCAACGTCGTCGATCTCAAATGAACAGTTCGGGGGGACACTGCCTTGTCATCAGTCTGGGGCGGAAGACTTCCCAATCACTCTCACGCACAGTGTAGGCTGTATCGGGCTCAAATCGACGCCGATAACCTCCAAAGCAATGACAGTCAGCAAAGTTCGGCTTGGTCGGTTTGTTCGTTAGATGGGCCCTGGTACCTGCGCTGCGGGGTGTTCATCAGCTGGAATCAAATCGTCAGCAACCAGTCGAGCAATCCTGGACAATTGCAGTTCAGTACCAAATTGAATTGCCCATATCCCAGTCCCGGTACCAACATCGAGGACTCGCTGTGCCGTATCTGCCCCCGGTGCAAAATGGGCACGGCCCTCAAAGGTAGCTAGGAAGTGTTGATTTTGGATATCTGTCGCCAACGTTGTGATCAGTCTGGGTCTTGTTCTCTGTAATTGATGGTTAGACGTACCCAGTCGGTCTTTTTCTTGCTGATAAGAAACGGATCAGCAAAGGTACACACCGACAATCCTCAAAACGAAGGACTACCTCGTCATTCGGCAAGATGTATTCTATAAGTCCGCGCAGTTAGTTTCTGCCTGTCAACATGATAGCCAGAAAGAGCAGTACTGACTTCCCGCATTGAGCGCGTGGTAAGTATGGCCATTTTCGATCTCGAAATGTCGGATAGTGGACGTCAGCGAGGCAGTTGATATTTGATCTTCACCCTATGCCGCGCCACATGTTATTGTATGTATCCTGGTGTCGGCGAAATCGGCTTACCAGGTCAAGAGCTGAGTCCTCGTCGGTGTCGGGCTGCTTGAGGCTGACGTCAATTATGCCACAAGAATAATGGGGCGGACGTGCTTACCAGAACATCGTCAACATGCTGCTCATCGTCGGGCTCCTGCATCATTGAACATAGAGCCGATCTGGCGGGTCCTCCAGATCTCGCTGAGAAGAAGAGCGTTGGAAAGCTTCGTCGACAACAGTTGTAAGGCGGGTTATCGTGACCTGTCTTTGCGAAGGATTCGCCTACGATTGAAGCTAACGGCCCGTTCGGCGACCAGCGGCGTCGTATCCGCGGGAAGGCTAGTCACCACCTAGGGAGCAGTATCCGGGGACGGCTTTAACTCTGAGCTCCAACTGTTGATGGGGCCAATGGACGTTTGATTGTTTGATATTTATCGATTTCTCGCATGCCCAAATGAGCGCTGTGCAGACAAAGGTACATAGGTCTGAACGTGGTCGAAAGCTAGGACTCCGGGCAAAGTCGGGCGCCAGGGATAAATCCGTTCCTGTACTCGGTACAAGCAGGTGTAATGCTAGGTAAACGACTCGCTAGAGCTCCATCAATCTTCAGGCCACCCCTGCTTATGCCGAGTTGCCGCGTGGGTTGCTCCCCCGTCAGCACTCGGCTCATCCCACTCGTTGGTGCTGCCATCAATGATGCTACATTGGACTCTTTCGCTTGGTGATCTTCATTATGAGGTTCGACTGCGTCATAACGCCGTAGTCAAACGTGTCCATAGGATGGGCTGGATTGACCACAGTAAAGTCAAATCGTCGCAAAAGCTGTTACAGTCAGTCTCAGACCTATGTTCCATGATGATAAGTACTTGCCTCGACAAAGACCTTGTTCAGCTCCAACAAAGCAATAGGTTTGCCTAGACAACCCCATTTTCCTTGACCAAAGATGAGCTCAACGGTATTCTCCATGAGTCGAAGCTGCTCGCTCTGAGCGCGTAGCCATCGCTCAGGAGAAAATACGTCTGCATCCTGCCCAAAAATATGCCTATCTCGCATTACTGAGCGTGCGCTCCAGCCGACGTTTGTATTGGCAGGAACCCGATAGCCGCAGACCACAGCATCTGAGTCCGACATTCGCGGGACAATTCCAGTAATAGGTGGCCAGATTCGGAAGCACTCCTTGATGAACGCCTGCAGGTATGGAAGTGCCCGCGCCTCGGTCTCTTTAATGGGGGACGATATCTGACCGGTTTTGACGCCTCTATCGATTTCTTCTTGTAGGCTTTGATATACCAGTGGCGATGTCGAGGCATGGAATATCCCGATCCTAATCACAGTGGCAGTCGTGTCAGAGCCCGCCACGATCTGGACAAGAGACTCTGACTCGGCATCCTTTTGCGTCAGACCGTGAGAAACGAATGATCCGAGCATATCTCGTTTGACGACCTTTGAGTCGCCATATCGCTCGGCCACGATTTCTTTGGCAAGACCCATGATCTTGCCCAGTCCGATGGCGTCAGTGTGCGTTGGCCGAATCGCTTTGAAGAGAGGAGACTGTAGCAAGCCCAAGAGCCAGGGCAGTAAAGCTATCATTTGCATAAGGGGAAGTGACTCTTCCGTCGTCTTGAGATAGTCGTAGAGGTCGTCATCTCTATCCATGAAGCCGAACGTCCGTCCCAATGCGAATGTGGAGATGAGGTCCAAGGTCAAGAACTGGATTTTTCGAGCAAAGTCAACTGGGCGGAAATCTGTTTCTGTCGAGAGATACTTCTCTTCGAGAAAGCGGATGAACTTTGCCGTTTGCTGGTCGATCGCCTCGTGCAGGCCTTCAATGTCTTTTCCAGAGTACTATCTCATCTCAATTTGTGAACAGGGCTAGATGGAGATACTTACGCCTGGTAGAAGTTTAGATCGGAGGAGAGTGTGCAGATTGTTGTCACGGATGGATAGAGTGCAATCATTTGGTGGATCGAGCTGGAAACCCTTGAACCATGGCGCTCGATCGAATTGAGAGCGCACTCCCCATATTCTGCGAATCTCAATTGGGTCACCACAGACCAAGTATCCGGGTGCGATGCGAACGAGGGGTCCTGTTGTAGAGGTTCAATCAGTGATCCGAAGGGGATAGAAGACATTCTCATTCCCCAGCGGATACTGCGGCGGATACTGCGCACCATAGTTGTGGCATAAGTGATCAAGCTCCTCATATAGTGATCCTTTGAAGGCTCTGCGAAGCATCCACAGGTCAGACCAGCCGCACCAAAATGGCCCGGGAATGTGCCGCAGTCGTTTCCATGCCAGGAATTTGCTAGTGATGGCCAAGAGGAAGATTACAGCGAGGGCAGAGAGCCAATAGGCCATGCTGGGGTACGCGGTATCTGAAAGCTTTCACTTTAGATATTGTGGCTGTATGAAAGGGGTGTGAGAACGGTTCGATACAAGGAGGCGAATGTTGTGAGCTGCCAGAGATATGGTGGGTTCCTGTGGGTGCCCAGTGGATTGTGGTGTTCATCGATGCTGTACATGGATGGTATCGCTTAGCGCCAAAGCCTTCGAAGCGAAGGGGATCCATGCATCGGCTGAACAAAGCTCCGAGGGCCAGTGTTTTGGTGAGAGATTGGCTGCATCAGGCTTCTCTAATGTCTTTAATGATATATCTCATCTAAACTGTATGGATTGTCAGTGTCCTGGATAACGGCGAAGTGCAGTAACCGGGAGGTTTGGATAGACTGTCGGCTCTTGAATAGTTGAGGTATCCGGATTCAGTGTGAAGAGTGCAGTCGTGGTCCTGACTGGGTTCCCCCGTTGTCGCCCCTGTGCCCCTTGTGTTGCTTCTTGACTTCCCAGCTTCTCCACGTCCCTCCATTCATAATTCCTCCCAAGAAATCCCCTATGCCGTAGCCTTGCTTCCATTCCCTTTTCTGAGCCAATTCGCTTATCCTCCAGAACAAGGTTCCGTCATAACAACCTCGCAGATCCTCCTTCCACACTCTGCCATTCTTCTGGAGCAACAACCAGGTTGTCCACATTTCCATGAATCCGAAACACCAACCAGCCATATCTGCTGCAAGTCGGTTCTTCTTCCACATGTTCCACATCTCGTCGGCACTTAGTCCGCCGCATCGTGAGGTATCCCAGCGGTCGAACATGGCGTCGAACCTGTCGGCATGGAAGTGCCCGTCGACATCGAAAATGCCAGTGTCGGAGCCGTGCTTTGCTTTGTGGATACTTCCCACATAGATCCTGAACAAAGGATCAGGAAACCAGCTATATGCCAGGCCTGTTGGATACGAGAAAAACAAGGGTATGAGAAGCGATCCGATAGAGAAAATTACGCTAAACCCTAGATCACGGAACCCATTGTAGACGTCCCAAGGGTAAATGATACCGTCGTTGTCGCGGTCCCAGAACAGCACATGTTGCTGGAGAGCGGTGAGTTCCGACTGTGGCTTGGGAGAGGAGGTTGATGTGCCGTTGCTGAGGCCACCATGGTGAGGGGGTCTGCCATGTGTTTGCTTCAAGGCAGGAGAAGCTGGCAGTTCGCCCGAAGCTGTGGATGCGGTGAAGGCGCTCATCTCTGCTGCTTGAGAATACTCAATGTGAGAGTGCGAAGGGATGGAGAAAGATGGTCTATGGCTTCCGGTCAGTCAACAATCGCACACGAAGGAAGACGGGAACCCCATGGGCCACACCAAGTCAATGATGTTCTTGGCCAGACAATATTTCTTTACGTGCCTAGTACAATGTTGCCGTGATATGATGTCTTTCCAGAGAATCCAGTCACTATCTTGTCCCGTCACCGCCTTGAGATGTCCGGGTCAGGCCACCTTTTTATCCCACCTATGATCTGCCTATCTTGGAGAGGAGAAAGAGCGCACTGCAAGAAAGCTTGTTTTGTAGCGAGCAGGTACATTGGACTTGAAAGCCCCAACAAAAACGGCGAGGTATGCTAAAAGAAGCTTAGATCAGAGGGCCGAGTGAGGAGCCGGAGAAGGATGGCCACTAGGGAGGACATGATTACAAGCGCAGGAAGCGAGTGAGAGAGTGGGAAAATGAGGGAAATTGGATGAGCATTAAACATACATCTATAGAGGGATAAAGGCACAATTGATGCATCATGATCACAATATCATTATTTGAATGACGAAAAGACATGTGCAAGTGAAGTATCCGTGAAGGGCTTGGCAAGTATTGCAACCGTCTGACATGGCCGATTAATGACTATTCGAGTATTATCGCACAAATCTCCCTTGCATCTTTTGAAATGACATGGTCACTTCCCCTCTCCCTCCTCCCTCACACATTCACCCTCCGCTCAAAATCCGCCTCTCAGAAAACTCCCAACCATCCCACTGGCCACTGGTCCAACAATGCTGCTGCTACATATGTAATAGCCAACCAGACTCAATGGGCGACCCAATGGAGAAGCCAGACATAGATCCTTCCGTTCAACCAAATCATGCGGGAGATGATTACGAAGTGCCCACATACGAAGCGCACTCTTCTTTTGACAGCTTGAAACAGCGTATACGGCACCATTATGAAATAGCTTCAGACTATTACTACTCCCTGTGGTACGTGCTGTTGAGTAGACACATGGACTCTTGCTCTCTGGTCCATCCCATCGAGCTTGTCCCTCTGACCGTACACCAGGGGCCAGCACATACATCACGCCTACTTCCTTACCCCTGAAGACACCAAGGAGACGGGCCAAACTAACCTCATCAACCTCCTGCTCGACATCTCCAAGCTCGCACCCCAATCCACGGTTCTCGATGTTGGGTGCGGCATCGGTGGAACTACCCGGCATTTGGCACGTGAGAATGGCTGCACTGTGACCGGCATTACAATCAGTGGACGACAAGTCCAGATCGCAAAACGCCTCACGAGCGATGAAGTCGCCCGAGAAGCCAGAGAAGCCTCTTCAAACTCGGCAGCGACTCCATCCCAGACCCTCCAAGGCACAGACACCTTCATACCCCTGGGGCCCAAGAACGGCAAAGTCCACTATTTCGAACTCGATGCAGAAAAAATGGAAAGCAGGTTTGATCCCCAGTCGTTCGATTGTGTCTGGATCTCCGAAGCTCTGTCCCACTTCCCCGACAAGCCCTTGTTCTTCCGGAACGCTGCACGCGTGCTTCGTCCGAACGGCAAGCTCGTGCTAGCAGACTGGTTCAAGTCCGCGCCCTTGACGCCCGAGCAGATGGAGAACGACATCAAGCCCATCGAGGACGGCATGCTCCTCCCCCCTCTGAAAACCATGGCTGAGTACGTGTCCATGGCCGAGTCCGCGGGTCTGCGTGTCTTCCACGAGCCAAAAGACATCTCTCAGCAAGTGGCCCGGACGTGGGACATCAGCTGGGAACTGGTCAGCAACCCCAGCCTGTGGGCGTTTGCCATCTCCCAAGGGAGGGATGGGCTCGCGTTCCTGCAGGCCTTCCGGGCCATGCGGCGAGGGTACAGCAACGGCACTTTTCGGTACGGGGTCATGTGTTTTGAAAAAGCGTGATGTTTTCTAGATTACGCATATTATAATATAGACGTCATACACTCTGTAGAAGCGCAAAGAAAGACAAGAAAGAGGATGATGACCACCGTAATGTTGAACGTCTACATGTACCGTACATTGGTCTCAATAGTCCCCAGTAATGTCAAAAGAACCTGGTCACATCGTCTCGAGACAGAGCAGGATCGAGAAGCCAAGGAGAATACTGCTCGCTCGACGAGATGATTTAGAAGATACATAAGACACAAAACATGACTATCTTCTAGTCGACACCGTTTTGTACCTATGTACCTTATGATGTAGTATCTAGTATGTAAAATGAATTTTTTTAATGTACTGTAGTGAATGCATTTTTGATTTTGTTTGTGACGAGGTCCATCGCTTTTGTTTCGCTAAACCTACAAAGTTTTGCTATATACCGGATAACATGTATGTATGTACGCGTGAATACTTGATAGAAAAAAGTCCTAAACGTTTCATCCATCCGTGCTATGCAGAGAGCCGTGCAAGAAAAATCATGATTGCCAATCTGGAAAGATGCCGCGATAGAGATCAGGCAAAGGGCATAAAGAGAGAGAGAGAGAGAGAGAGATAGAGAGAGAGAGAGAGACACCTAGGTATCTGTATATGTATGTCTCTTTCCCTACCGCTGTCCAAACAAAGGGTCGGATATTGGGCAGAAGTGGATAGGAGACACTCTTTACTCGGCATCGCTCTCCTCCTCAGCCGTGTTCTCGTGAAAGTTCTTGCCCTCGGTCGTCTCGTTGATGACGCCCGCGCGGATGGTCCAGTCGCCGAACCTCTCACCAGGGTTGCGCTCTTTGGCGTACCGGCCCAACAGACCCCGCATGATCTCTAGGATCTCGTCCTCCTTGATGCTGCTGCGGTACAGCTTGTTCAGGCGCTGCCCGTGGTAGCCGCCGCCCAGGTACATGTTGTAGGCACCATAGGCCTTGCCGACAAAGGCGGCCTCGGCGACCCACGGACGGGCGCAACCGTTGGGACAGCCCGTCATGCGCATCACGATCGAGTCCTGCGACAGGCCGTTCTCTTCCAGGCAGGCCTCGAGCTTACTGATCAGTACCGGCAGGTATCGCTCTGACTCGGCCATGGCGAGACCGCAGGTTGGGAAGGCGACGCAAGCCGAGCTTGACAGACGCATGCCCGAAAACTGCGTATTGTCGAGCTTGTACTTCTTCATCAGCTCCACAATGGCGGGTTTGGCCTCGTCGGTCACATTGGACAGGATGAGGTGCTGGTTGCCCGTGAGTCGGAACTCGCCTTTGTGGATCTTAGCAATCTCCCTCAATCCCGTCCGCATGGGGAAATCCGCCGTGTCCTCCACGCGGCCGTTCTCGATGAAGAAGGTAAAGTGGTTCATGCCCTTTTCGTCGCGCAGCCAGCCAAAAGTGTCGATGTTGGACTCGAACTTGTAGGGTCGAGGCGTGTCGAAGGCGATACCCAGCGGTTTAAGGAGCTCTTCAACTTTGGACTTGAAGACTTCATTGCCCATGTCGTCCATGGTGTACTTTAACCGCGCGTGCTTGCGGTTCTTGCGGTCGCCGTTGTCGCGTTGCACCAGCATGATCTTTTCGCACACCAGGTGTGCCACGTCCGCTGGGACATAGCCCATCATATATCCTAGGCGAGGATAGGTTTTCTTGTTATTGTGTGTTACACCCATGCCGCCTCCAGCGGTAATGTTGAAGCCCTCAAGGTGACCGTTGTCCTTTGACCGAATCGCAATGAGCCCAACATCGTGGGCGTAGACGTCCGTATCGTTGTGGGGAGGGATGGCGATGGTGATCTTGAACTTTCGCGGGAGATAAGTTGGACCGTACAGGGGTTCGAAGTCTTGCACGGCGTCACCGGCGACTTGCGTCTTCTCACCAGTGGTATCGTCCTTCAACCAGATCTCATGGTAGGCCGTGGTGGAGGGTAAGAGATGGTCAGATATCCTCTTTGAAACGGCATGGACTTCCTGGTGATATTCGGACAAAGTCGGCGAGCTTGAACACATGACGTTTCTGTTGATGTCTCCACAAGCGGCGATTGTCGTCATCAGCGCCTTGTTGATGGCTCGCATAGCCGGCTTGAGCTTCGACTTGATCACCCCGTGGAATTGGAAGGTTTGTCTTGTGGTAAGTTTGATGGTTTCGTTCCCATGAGCCGAAGCAATTGCGTCCATCTGAACCCACTGTGAGGGAGTTGCGACACCTCCTGGGAGTCGGCATCTGATCATGAATGAATAGGCGGGCTCAAGACCTTGTGCTTTTCGCTCATCTCGCAGGTCACGATCGTCTTGTTGATAGGTCCCGTGGAACTTGGTGAGCTGCTGATCCGATGCGGAGATGGCACCGGTTGATGTATCCAAAAGTCCTTCCACAATGGTGCCGCGGAGGTAATTTGACGCCGCCTTGATGTCCTCGTTGGTCAACGGCGGTGGCTCTTCGGGCAGTCCTTCAACATTGGCAACGTTGAGTGCTTGCCAGAGTCTCGGCTCCCACTCCTGATACCCAGTCTGAAATCCATCGGGGTCCTGATCGTCACCCAGGCCAATGGCGGTCAACAGCTTGCCTCCAAGAAATTGAACCCGAGTGTCCAGATCTTTTCCGGGCTTGTTATAGAATATCTTGTCCTCTTTTCGTGGCCAGTAGTGGCTGTCGCCAAGAGCAAAGACAGAGTAATGGACGTTGGAGAGATCCAGGTCCGCAGCGTCTTTAATACCTTCCCAGAATGCACGACCGTTTTGTGGGAATTCACCTTGTCCGGCTGTGCTGCTAATGAACACAACATTCTCCTCGTTTGGAAGGTCCTCAAGAGGATAATCGTCCATGGCGAACACCATCGTCTTCAGCCCCCGAGCTTTACCCCGGTTGCCGAGTCTCTTGGCCAGGCCTTCAGCATTACCATTGTCGGAAGCGAACAGGATCGTCAGTGGCGCTCCGTACAAGCCTTCCAACATCTGTTCGTATGCATCCTTCGCTTTGCGTTTCTGCAGCTTGCGGACCTCGGAACCGTACGATTCCGATAGGTTTGCGGCAAACTCAGGATGGCGGTTCATCACTTGTGTGAGCTGGTTATCGCGGCGCAAAAATTCCTCCAACTCCCGTTTTATGCGTTCAGAATCGAGCGAAAAGGAAGGTTCCCCCTTGTCTTCATTGGAAGGATCCCACCTGTACAGTGGCCAATAACCCATGTCAACCGCTTTCTTTGTTTCTTGCAGGACGGTTAGAGGTGAATCGGACTCCTTGTTGTAAGGGAGATAAGCCAAAACAACCGAAGGTCCATTAAATCTTTCAGCTTCGATCATCGCTTGCAGGACTTGGGTGTAAGAACTGTACACAGCCACTGAGGCGACATAGGCATTGCCAAAGTTCATGGCATAGAGACCAATGTCCTTCTTGCGTCTCATTGCATCTGCGGCCGCTCGTTCCGAGTATGGCTCCGAATCGATTATGAGCATGTTAACATTGGCACCTGAGGCGAGGACATGATGAACTCCAGAATTGCCCAAATCATATGCCCAAGCATCGGAGCCAATCAGCCACTGTGATTCCTTGAAAAAGAACGACTTTTTGTCGAGGAGAGAACCAGCTAGCCTTGAGCCATCTGTGGATAGGCGCGCAACCACTTCTGGAGCGATTTCGTTTGCTTTTGCAGAGTCGTTCGCGTTCAGTGCCCATCGAGACAACCACTGCTTGGGAGACTCCGTAATAAACTGGTTGCTCCGGGCAGCTCCTTCAACCTCCTTTACAAATTCTTGTCGGCGTTCAGTGCGGGCAAGTAAGGATCCAAACCCATACTCGGGTGATGCTGCAATCGTCGAGGAGACGCCTGCATTCTTTTTGTCGAGCAAATTGGCAATGTAAAGTCTGTTGCTGAATAACTGGTCAAGGATTTTGAGATAGGCATTCTCCACCTCGGGTTGTTCAGGGGTGAAGCTGTCAACCGTGGGTTCCACCTCGTGGCCAATACTCAGATTCTGAATCGAGATGGCTGCAGCCTGGGAATATCCACGACGACGGGAGTGCTTTCGGGGTGTGACAGGAGGTGCGAGGTTTTGGAAAATGCCACGGAGTGCTTGCAATGCCGTCGACGCGTCAATCTGACCGAGTCGGTACTGGACTAGAGAGATTGCACTTTGCCCGCCAGTTCCAGGGTTCAAACTTGACAGCAAATCCAGGAACGAAGGTCCCCATTTCGTAGTCTTTCTCCGGATCTGTTCCAGTACTGCTATCTTCTTGATGGTTTTGGGGATGGAGTCCAAAAGGACAGCACTTCCAAGCCATGGCCGGTACAACCGCGCAGTGATTATACCGAGGCTCGAAAGATCGGCTGGGACATCATCAGCGTCAAGGACATCGACGAATACTCCAGTTGAGCCAAAGATATAGAGCGCTGCTTCAGCGTCAGGAGGTCCCGAATACTCAATTGCCGAATAGCTGCGACCAGTGAGGTGAGAGATGGCTGCCCAGATTTCACTGGCGTAGCTAAATATGTCGGTAGCGCTCACAGCGCGAGAAACCGGAGTCTCGACTGTAGTCGCCAGCGACGATGGTGCGGTGCTGCCTGAGGAACTCTGTCGTCGTGAAGATGAAGAAGCTGCCGACGATATGTCGGTCTGACCGTTGGAAGACGCAGGGATAGCAACAGGTGACAGAACCTCTCTCGGCGCCGCTTCGGATGCCTGTGGAGGAGCAACTTCTGGCAGACCAAGATCAGTGACGGTGGCAGTTCTTCCGTTACTGGCATAGAGCGTCTGTTCTGTTTCACCCGTGTGCGAAGCTTTAACACCCGTATCTAGAAGTGCTTGAACCAGCTCGCGACTTTCGACAGCGATTGGATTGTCCTGGACGGAATTGCTGGGGTCGTAGAAGTGAATGACACCTTTCCCGCTTCTCACGGCTAGTGCATGAGCCGTCAATGCAATATCCTGTGCCTCCTGTAGTGTCTCTGACTGCAGGAAAGTAAAGCCGCATTGTCTTATTGAGCTGATCTCTGAGAAGTCTGGCTGAGGCGTTGCCAGCGAGACATGCAGGACAACTGGATATTGGGCGAGCTTATACAAATGAGGTACCGAGTTCAACAGGATTGAGGAAGGGGCCGTAACCGACACCAATTTGCCGGCCTGGAGGGGCGTGTACGCAGAGAGCAGCGGATCTGCATTTTGGCGCACAGGAACGATCTCGGGAAGGGACTTGGAGACGAAGTTCTTCGAGCCGTTGGCGATAAATCGGGAGAAATGATATGAAAACTCTGAATCAGTGCTCAGCGAAGGCTGGACGGACAGAACGACGTCGCTGGCGAGGTAGGCGATTCTCGCGACTGTCCAACAATGAGCTTGTTAGTTTCTTCAATGACAACCAGAGCGGGGAACCATGAAACAAATGCAGGGAAAAATCACATACCAGCTTCTGCGGGGCTGGCAACGGACCCCATGTCGCTTGTCGCTTGTTTGATGGTCTAAGGGAATGACAGTCAACGAAGCATTCAAGGTCGAAGAAAAGCAGAGCAGGAAGAAGAGGAATCGACTGAAATGTAATACTTGAAGCAATCTTGCCCTTCCGCACTATTCTCCGCTTTCTCATGCCTCCACAAGAGCCTCGATCACCACCGGTACGCAAAAGCAGCCTCTCAAATTTTTGCTGCTACGGCTGTCGGTCTCGTCATTCGCTCTCCCGCGGCTCTGATTGGTCGCCTCCCGATTGCGACATCGTGTGCCGATGGATCGTGACGGCGACGGCACCAACGGAGTGCGAAAGTCTGAAGGAGAGATCGGTCACAATTAACAAAATAGATAGACTTGCCTAAATCAGATACAAAGGTGAGATTTGTGGAAGCGTGATTTGTGTGTATCTGTCTACGTTTGGGAAGCCATCCCAATTCGACTTTTCTGGTGCCTCCGAACTACTATTCGGGCAATATCTTGGTAATTCCACTCATCTTTGGGGGTTATCTCCGGTAAAAAGATAATCATGGGTACCGTGAACAACTAGGAGCGATGTTCGGGATCTTCGAGAAGGACTGAGTAGGTGCATGTAGGTCGGTCTGTCTCTTCTACATACGAGTATGAGCTCTATAGTCGGCAATGTTGCCTAGTTGTACATATACCGAGGCAGCTGCTTGGCCCGAAATGGACCTTTAGTGGCCCTCAATGATCTTTAGTAGGCCCCTAATGTTATTCTCGGAAAGGTATCAGAGTCTAACGCCAAGCTTATTTAGCCCCTAACCAATAAAGTGTTGACATTAACTGATACCTACTACTAACTAGGAAAGTGAAGAACCTCCTTTCCTGTCGACAAACCTCCCCCTAGCCCACGCCAGTTTTCTTCTCGATCAGCTCCTCTCTTCTTGTTTCCTTGATGTCTGAACATTCGTCAGTGACGTTAGCCGAGTTTGTGCATTCGGACGGAACAAGAGTGACTGACAAGATCGTCGGAGTGGGTGGAACTGGCATTGTGATTCAGAAGGGCCAGTAAGATCCCTCGACTGACCAGGGAATTCGACGACGATGGAGGGGTTACATTAGATGAAAGCCTGGCCCCCAAAGAGGGCGAATATGACCTACTGGCTGATCTTGTCGGCTCATTGGAGCGCGAGCGCGCCATCTACAAACGACTCGGCAGTCACCCTAGCATCATGCGATGCTATAACTTATCCTCGGCTGATCCTTCGATTCAAATGGATCTTATCGTGAATGGTGATCTTCGACATTACTTGGCCGCGCTCAAAACACCCTCGGGAAAAAAGACGCAACTGTCCTGGATTATCAACATGGCACAGACACTGGCATATATCCATCAGCGACGTGTTATAGTCGCCGATATCCGCTTGGACAATCTGTTGGTTGATGACCAATTAGCCATCAAGTTCACTGATTTCGGAAAATCAACACTAATGCCCCTTCACTGGGACCTTCAAGGCGATGACGGGGATGGCTATTCAATTTTGACCGATATCGGGCAATTTGGCGTAATCATGTTTGAGATTGTAACCGGTCAACGTTGCAAATTCGATCCCGTGCAGGACCGGAAGATGTAGGTGACCCAGTGAACTTTACCGACACGAGACACTCTACCATCAACGAGTAACATATGGCTCGGCCATACCATCGAAAAGTGCTGGACCCAAGAATTCGGGTCCACAAACAACCTCGTAGTAGAGCTACAGAGTGTGTCTGTGGATGAAGATTGAATGCCGAAGTTTGCTAGGGAATGAAACAGAGTCAGGCGCCTACGCATGCCACACAAACGCTTCGTCCAATCAGGGCCACTCTGTTTGGAAGAATGTTTACTCTCGTCACCAAGAACCGGGACGACAAATGTGAGCCATATCATTGAGTATGTTCATCAGCCTCATCCACGGTCAGGCAGGGAAACCGTCCCAACCATCAATTGGAAGACTACCGATACTCCAATGGAAATCAAACCACAAGACCGAGAACTGGTGGGAGAGGATATGGACTGCGAGGCTATACAATATTCTGGTCAAGCAAATGGCCGGAGGCTCTTCGAAATGGAGGGCGGGATAGTGACCCAAACACCCAACAGCGACAATTGCCGGGTTGGCTCTGAAGGGTCTGGTCGAGATATTGTAGGATAATTCATAGGGTGGAATTATGTCTGAGGTGGTCAACGTGACCAACACCGAGTGCCGGAGTGGAAAACTGAAAAATGGGTGGCAGCCATGCAGCGCCGCAGCCTTGCATGATTTTAACCCGCAGCCTTGGCGCGCGTCATTGGCGGATTCTTTTTGTTGCGCGGTCTCAAGGCCCGAGAAATAATTTCGTTGCAACAGATTGGGCTGCTAGCCTGAACCACCACCCAGTGTATTCGCTGTTGTCAGTCCAGCTACCATGGCCGACGATGACGATCCTGTCATTGCCTCCTACGATGTTTGTTTGACAAGCAGCTTCTCGGCAGCCGCCAGCGATTCCTCCAAGTTGTACCTCCTCCAGTATCCCTCCCACCGCTCGTACAAATATCCTTACAATGCCTCAGTGGGACAAACTCCAACTGCCCTTCGTCTTAAACCAGATGCTGGATTCATAGAAGTTGATGTCCCCATGAATAAAGACGAATACTACAATGAAACTGCTGGGGAGAGATTTGGGAAAGCCATGGCCGAGAGCCGCACGATCAGCGTTGGAGGTTCGTTTGGTTTGGCTGGTGGGTTTGGGGCGGGCACAACACAAGCCAGACTGAAGGATATTCCTGTACATGATCAACCTAGCGTTCCTGCGCCGTTGCTTGAGACCCAGACACTGGGTGGCAAGATACCGAACCAGAGCACCCGTGATCCGATTTATCTTGTTGGGTCCCTCCACCAAAACCAAATCCACCTCACCTACTTGGATGCTGTTGTGCAAATGCGCCCTCAGCTTCATCACATTGATGCTGAAGATGAGACCAACCAGAAGCGATTTGCAGGTGGCAATAATGCTGGTTCATCCCGCCAAAAACCTGGCTTAGAACCACCGGCGCCCAAGGTAGAGTCGAAAGCCATCGAAATCAAGATCAGAGACACCAAGGATGACACCAAGGATCGTACAACGAATGACAACGCGAAGCAACTGCGAGATATCCAAATGGATCAGTGGCAGAAATATGAATGGGTGGACGAGGACGAGCCTAGTGCTAAGGTCTTATTCGACTCGCGGATGCGTCTTGTGTCGGATCCACGGCACACTCCTAAATTACAAAGCTGTATCGGCAACGGCGACTGGTTGGACAGGATGAGTGCGCCCAGAGAAGATGGCAAGAAGGGATTGTTGGCCAAGTTGCGCGGGCGAGAACGAGAGCGAGCGCGAAGGAAGAAGGCCGAGGAAGAGAAGCGACAACGTCAGAAGGAGGCGAGTGGGGCAGAGTCAGCCAGCCATGGGGCGCTCATAGGCATGAGCGACGACAGCGACTTGAGCAGCGCAGAGGTTACGGACGACGACATTCCAGAAGAAGATTTGGCTGGAGTAAAGGACGTGGAGGATGAGGTTCGGATCAAACAAGAGCCCGCTGCACCTTTCCCACAGTCCAGGAGGAACCTAATTTCATCGGCTACAAAACCTGGATCAAGCAATCCTCCAAAGAAAAGAGGGCGACCGAGGAAAAACCCGCCTACTGACTCGATACCCCTTGGAGACTAAGTCCAGGAACTAATCTGCTCATCCCATCCACCACGGGCGGCTTGCTGGTAGTCGGTAAGGGAGGTGTTGCGGTCCCTCCTCACGCTCTCGAGAAGAACGATGCTAAGATTTGCGAGGCAATGACGATACACCTTGAGATGATTATCCAGGCTGAGATTGGGTCCTAGTCCCTGCCTTGATGATCATTTGAAAAATCTTCAGATCCTTCTTTGCGTCCTTCGCCGTGGTCTTCACTTCCTTTCCGTGGGCAACCATCTGGTACAGTTCCTTCATTTCCAAGGTATAAGGATCTTCGTAAGTCCGCTTGATGGTCGACTCTCTGTATACCCCGTCGACATTTTCACACACCACCATGCTTACGGGCAAACCCTTGATATAAGGGGTGTCATATTTAACCCGGACGGACTTGGTCATGCTGTACACCTCAATGTGTGCATCAAACCGAGGAACGTTGTCGATACCAGATTCATATGTCACCGAAAAGGTGGGGTATTCCAGCATTGCACTGAGAATGTCAGTGAACTACTGCTCGACGCAAAATGCGTTCGGTTGTGTTAGGGAAGCAGGCATACCTCCAGAATGGAAGATTGATGGATGCGCCAATGATACGTTCTGGCATTCCGAGGGCTTCTCTCATTGCTGATAAGTCATGGGAGCCCAAGCCACCTAGCAGTCGCCACATCCTCGTCGACTCTGGATTGACGGGTATCCCACATTCGACCGACAATGCTTGATGTACTATTTCTGACGCCCTATCATTTTTGTCTTGCACGACTTCAGGTGTGAAGTCTGTGAACACCTTAGGGAATGTGCCTGATTGCGCAACAAAGTGGCTGTTTGGACCGATGATATCTGTTTAAAGGTGCTGCCATTCAGCGTTTATGCTCGTAATGACTTGAGACAAGAGCATTATGTACCTCTGACTCGAGCGTACAGAATCTTATCCATCCCACCAATTTCTTTTGTCATGTCTAGAAAGGCTGCAGCATATCGACGCATGTAGCCCACCATTACTTTACCTTTGGATCTTTCCTCCGCCTCGATAATAGTGTCAGCATCCCTCAAGCACAGTGCCATCGGTTTCTCGACAAACACATCCTTGTCATGCCTTAACCCTTCCATCACGTGCATAGCATGATACTCATCCGAGCTCGCGATGAAGACAAGGTCAACATCTGGGGAAGCGCAAAGCTCGACCGGGTCTTGTGTGGTTTTGGGAATGTGGTTGATGACTTTTTGAGCATTGTGCCTGAGAGATTCTGCTGACACGTCGCACAGGTACGTGATGGTAAAGAAGTCGGAGAGGAAACCCAGTGTTGAGGTGTGTGCCACCTGTGTTATCTCGCCGCAGCCTATGATCCCCACCTTGACGAGCTTGTTGGTGGCCATATTGACAATAGATTGTGGGAGAGTACAAGGTAGACTGACTACTTCGACCGTTGGTATTCAATAGAGTGTCACGCTGGATGGACCCTGAGATCCCTTTTTCCTTGATCACCATCCAGGTGGGGCCGAGACTCTAGATCTGGCCAGTATAATTGGCTGGTTTAGACTGGCACGTGAGCCGGGCCCCACCGGCAGAGCTCCCTCCAATCCTCGCAGGTGCAGCTGCTCCTGAAGCCAAAATGATTTTTTGCCATGCGCTCCCAAGTCACTCCATCTTCTGTCTGTTAACGAGGTTGTACCATCACCACAATTGTGTTTCTTTTTCATCTATTTAGGGTAGCGGAGGGCTTCTGTGATGATAGATTTGTCTGAAAATTCTATCATTGCAGCTTCTAGCCACGGTCTTGCATCTGGGTTTGCGCAATGCTGCGCACGCGAGCTGCGGCCAATTCCAAGTATGCCCTTCAGTATGTCCAACAGGCGGCAGAAAGGATACAGCTCCCGTGGCTGTGTCCCGCCCTCGCTCAGACCTATACTGCCAGACAGCGGCACAGATCAATAACCACACGTCCTACGGTGTCGCGGTCAAAAACCTTGCCAGCACCCATCACCCAATCGAGGCATCTTGCCTCCCCAGCGTCCGCACACGAGAACTTCGACCGCAGCGATGATTATATCCCTTTTACCTACGGCAATCGAGAATATCCCACATCTCGAAACCCACATCGAACCTCCAGAAGTGACCTGTCGCCTTTTGACCTCTCTCAAATATTGATGCTCGATGCCGCCGATCTTGTCGAAGACCATCCCGAGAATCATGCGGGCAACAACAAGCTGCGAAATATAGACGAAATCGAAGCCACCCTAGACGCATGTCTGCAAGTCCACCGATGGGACCGGGCGTTCACACTCCTGTCGCAGTTGAGCCTCTTCTGTCAAAACAATCCCTCTCGGTTGCGAAACTCCTTCAATCGCGTTCTTGCAGCCATGGTGGACGATGTCATATGGAGTCGCACTGCCGACCATGAAAAACGAATAAATGAATGGATCGAGGTGCACATGAGAAAAGCGGACCTTGAACCAGACGCTCGTACTTTTGCGCTGAAATTGAAGGTGGCTCTGGAAACCCTGGTCGGGTCCAAGAGGGACCGAACAGTGCGTCGCTACTGGGAAATGACAAAAAGATATCAATTGGAGAGCAAAGTTCTGAGTCTGCGAGATGTTCTGGATGATAGAGATCTGGGGAGACTCTCGGAAATCTGCACAATCGAGGTCTCGACTCGTCTACCTGAACAGGTTACCGACATTGCGCCATTGGATTCCGTGCAGGTTGGATCTGTGGGAAAGGAACAAGTCCATGTTCGGGAAACAGAACAAAAAGGGCTGGGCTTGTCGTCGCTCAAACGCTCGCTGTCTCTTTTCACCGAACCGACAGAGGCCACGGTCGAAGCAAGGTCAGCAGAAGAGGATCCCCTCACACAGAGACAACGACGGCTGGAGAGAGACGCGATTCAAT